ATTTCCCAGTAACGTTTTCATCTTGACTATCGCATACATTCTCATACGGCCAAGTATACTACCTCGCAGCTCTTATGTTTACATGAAGTTGAAAAAGTGCGGCAAATTGAAATCTTCCTACTTTCATTCTTGCGATATCACTAGTTTATACTCGTTCGCCCAAACCGAACGTTTTCGACGAAAACGGAACATCAGAAGAAAATGGATTCCTGATTAATTTACACTTCTCACACGTAGACAAATTAGTCCCTACATCTATTTAAATGCGGTGTTTGATTAAAAAGAAGGCACCAACAATACGTCGGTACGTAGTACGGACGCTTCGTTGCCGCGCAACCACCACCGGTCGCACGTGGACTAAGGATACTGTGAGGGCCTACCTGCCTACGCAGGCCCGAATCCGCGCCGTCAGACTACAAGACATGCTTGTTACGTTTAGGTTACGGGCTGGCCCGTGTTTTACATGTACGGTCTTAGTTACGTAATAATGCGCGTCATTCTTTCCATCATAATTAGCAGTTTTACTCGCATCTCCTGGAGCGCACCATGGGGTCTTCAGTGATAAAATAAAAAATAGGAAAGCGAATCAAATTGCTGTTGACGACCAGGAAGGTGTCATTGATTTCAAACCACATGATTGAAAGTTGAGACAGAAAAACGCTTCGAGAAATGTCGAGCGACGATTTACCCAGCTCATGAAGACCGATGATACAGATGGCATGTAAGGTAACTCTTTCTACTGAATGTCTACATTCACGACACAACTTATCAATGCTGACTTGTACGCATCATTACACAGACATAGACACATATTTGTAAAACGTACAACTAAATTAAATAGACGCGATCAAGCTCGCATCTGAAGCGAAGATGGAAAAATGAATAGTCTAATAATGGAGAAAATGTACACAAATGAGTCACCGCGAACTAAAAGTAGCAGACGAATGACCTGCAGACAACTCACTGTCAACGACAAAACATCAGTCACATGTGGTACTCAATCGTTAACTGTGACGCAGCCCAGGTTCACAAAATAAAAGCGTAGATGAAAAATAGTACAACCGGATCGAACGTAGTCGATGCAAATGATAATGAAACAGAAAACCGCAGTCTTGAAAGTACACTGGGGTGGCGAGAAAGGGACAGCAGTCAACGCATCAATGAAAACCAGGTCAAGGAGTATGAGTACGGTACAGGGTAATGAAGAAGATGAAACGCGAGTTGGAAAAACCGGGCTGAGAGGTTTGTGTAATGACCGAAACACACTGTCAGCAAAAACACCACCACTGACTGCAAACAATAAGTACACATACCACAAGTGTTGGAATCTAGGCAGTAAATAAGAGGAAAATAAAGTTGCGTTCGTGGAGAAAATGTACTTTCAAACACCGGTCGTCACGCGTCAAAGCCTTTCATCAACTGGGGAAAATCTATGACCAAGAAGCATTTACTTGCGTTGCCCTAGCACAAATAGAGAGTAAAACTAAAACGTAATCACGAGGAAGCATGAAACGTACAAAGAAACAGGATTAGACTGGGGGAAAACGTCGGTAAAACAAAGCTAAGAATTGTTCGATGTTTGGACGATGACGCAAAATGTAGAGATCCAATGTAACAGTTACGCCATGCGAAAACTCAAGCCGTTAAGAGGGCCGAAAACTAAAAATATTTACAGAATACGCAAGAAGAACCAATACGGCTCAGTTCATCAACAACAGCAGTACATCAGTCGTTTACACTGATGCTTGACTGTCGTACAATCACAACGAAATAAGGAACGAAGAGAAATAAGTCGGAGAGAAGTAGGACCTAGCGTAAAACTTTAATGCCCTAAGAAAACATTCAGAGTCAAGGCGCCCACACATTGTATTAACAACATACCGTCACAAAACAACTGGCCATCACTCGAAAATAAGGCGGCATCCGCAAGAGACCACTTTCCAGCGGATTTCGCTGCCATTACCCCTTACGTACCTCGGCACCAAACAGATTCTAAACAGGCTGTCATACTAGGAGACGACCGAAGATACGCCACTGGTGCCGACTGCGAGCCATGTCCTGTAACGCTTCGATGCGAACACAAGGCGGGTCACGTGGACTCCAGTCTGGAAGGAGAGATGGACCGACGGCAACGAGTTTTGTCCTCAGTGACTTCACTTCGCACTGCCTAGTTAGTGTTTTTTCACCTCGGGCCTTGTGCCAGCCTACATCTGGCAAACAAAACAACGCCCTTCTCAGTAAGCGGTGACATGGCATACGTAGTACGTGCCCAAGCCAACGCAACTTATTCAGTGCGACGTTATTCTAAGGAACTAGCACGCTTACCATCGCTTAGCACTCGTCTACGCACATCATCTTTGCGGATACGCTGAGGTCGTCGACATCAGCAATGCCTCACAGACAGCCATGATCAAAGACCTGCTGTTCACTCAGACGAAGTGGGCCAAGTGAAACTGGACAGAGTAGGACGGCCGTCAATTTGGCCTTGCAAACACGAACTTTCAGCGAGGGATCCCCTTTCTGATGCTCCTGATCTCGTAGATTTAGGAAAGCAGTTCTGGCTTTTACAATGCTTGAACCGACTTCGATCGTTGTGCGCCCATCGTTGCTGATGAAGCTACCAAGGTAAGTGAATTGATCAACCACCTCCAGTAACCTCATTTATAACGGCATCGGTCTTCGTACGACATACCACGTAAACTGGGGATGAGCCTGGTTGTCACATGCCGAACCCCGCCTAGTGCTTGCACTCTGAAACGGGCGATCTGTACTCCAGCATCGGCCTCACGGTGAAAGACAACAGGCGAGTGACAATGCCTTCAGGCCAAATGCTGAAGCTGTGGCTGAACGGCAAAAGCATGGGCAATCCGTTTCAGTATAGCTTGGTCGTGTTATCTACGGAATTCGGATTGCATGAATGAGCACATTCAACAGAGCTGGTACAATCAAACCTGTCTATATATATATATATATATATATATATATATATATATATATATATATATATATATATATATATATATATATATCCTTTGAGCACCATATGTGAATGTACAGTTTAATTTGCATCTACTCACATTTGTTATCATTACCATAAAGAGCCTAGTATGCCGATAGTTGCAACAGTTGGGCCACAAGTGATTATAGGGTGTTAATATGCTCTCTTCTTTTGGGGTTAATACATGTTGGGTCCATCGTCCATCATACAGGGATGTTAGAAGTTCTGCTTGCTTCCCATTGACCTTATGTTCAGTCCATGAAATGTTTGCAGGTATGATAGTGATGTAACCTTCTCAATCACCTGACTCATCTTGAGTTCTTCGTTTATTAATATAATTACCTCATTTTCTAGATTACTGACTTTTTCGGTAATATCAGGTGTTGGATTAGACAACTTGGCGGCTCATTTATTTTTGGCAGCTTTCACTTACTTATTTTTATCCACCTTATTATCTACAATCGGGTTCTTTGCCTGGTCCTGGAAAGACGTCTTTTTAAGGTATATTGGCTCTAGCGGTCATTTGAGCCGAGTATCAGAAAGGGAGCAGGCAAAACCGATGGAAATTCGCCATGAAACTAAATGGTTTAAATCCTTCCCTGTTGGCTGATGAGCAACCGTTTTGCTGATTGGTGCGTGGATTTTCAGTACGAAATAATGCATGCCATGGCAGGACGAAGTATCAAGTCATGGGGACAGAAAAACCGCGCAGACGTGTCTTAAACCGATAATCTGATTTTTGTGCACGGTGCGTTTCTGTGTCACTAAGATAAATCCTTGTTAAGCGTGACATCCGCACGCTTCACTGACGTGGCGGAGTAGCACCCATCGCTATCCATGTGGAGTTCCGGGTACTGTTTGAGAAGCTACGGATGCCTATCTCTGTTCAATGAAAGAATAACATATTTTCACTTCTACACGTCAAGCGATAGTTCGCGGACTTTTAACTGAATTGTGAGATTATTAAGAATATCCTATAATCTGTCTGAAGAGGCAGTGATCCATTGGTTGTTGTCCAAGACAAGGCTATCTGCATACTTTAGTAGGGTCGCCTCCTCAGGGACTGATATTGAGCTGACATAAGTGGAAAATAGAAATGGTGACAGAATAGCCCAATGAAGAACACTGGTGTTTGTGTCTAGGGACGATAGCCTCCTGTCCCTAAGTCGGGTAATTTTAGTACAACCGACAAAATAGCTCTCCATAAAAAGATGATCTAGAGCTTTCAACCGCATTGCACAGATTGCGCGGCTGAATGCATCGATGTAGTCCACAAAACAGATTCGGGTGAACTTGCTTTTATTGTCCATCGATGAGGGAACCGAATGCACAAGACTTTCCACTCCGTCTTGGGCTGGTTTCCAACTGTGGTAGGTAAATCGAAGAGAATCGTTTAATCGCTTTGCAAAGAGAGGCAACACAGGTTTCGTCAATGTGCACCAGGAAGAGATTTTATAGGTGTTGACTCCACCTCCACGATTTTTATTAGCTTAAGAGTGATCGGTCCGATGACAATCAAACACTTCTATCGATGCCAATGCGTCATTTACCCCCTCGTGAAGCCAGGCATCTTATAGAAAAACGATGCCTATCTGCAAATAGTCTCGGAAATTTGTAGTACTTGTTATTTCACCCATTTTTCCTACAAGGAAACGGATGTTTGAAGTAAGATAGGTATGCTCATGCTTCACATTTTTTCTATTCTGACTAGCAACTCCCCACCCAGCGCGGTGTCTACTTGCTGCTCGCCTGGTATAATCAGTCAGACAGTCTTTCTTTCGGTTCTCCATGCATTACGTGAGCCATGTTTAGTTTTCATGTCTTTCTCATGTGGCAGTTTTTTGTGCGCTTTCATTATTCCCGAACACACTCGTCTCGTTCGAATGTTCACCTCCCTTTTCCAGTTTTTCGCTCCCATCCCTGCATGGTCTGTGTGTTTGTTATTTTCTTTATCACTGAGCCCATACAAAGCATCTTTCTTTACAATTTTTCTTTTCTGCAGCCTCAAGTCATTTTTAGCGCTCTCAGTGCCCTTCCCTCGGTCGAAATGGCTCCATTTTGTCGTACGATTTGCAACTCTCTCAGAGAAGTAAGTAGATTTAGCACTTACCCCGCCCCCCCCTTCGCGCGTTACTTGCCGCTTCCGGGTAATAATTCATTTGCATCCTTCGCCTAAGGCCATTTATCATGTGTGTCTACACTTGTTAAACCACCAATACAGTTAAAAACCGAGTACTCTTCTAACCTGTCCGCAACACAAGCCAATCCGAGTTACTGCAACTGAAGGATACGTTACCGGCTCGTTATCCGAGTGTGCCACATATTTTTCGTTGACTTTTCTGATCGGTGGTTTTGGTTCCTTCATAACATTGTCTACACCTGGAATTAAAAACCTTATTTCGAATTATGGTTCACTCGATATACTTCAGTTTATTACAAAATGCACTTTGCTTTCTGGTCGATTGCTATCGTTGGGTCTGTCGATCTGTATTGGGATGCCCAGGGAGCCAAGTCACTGTACTTGACGACAACCATCGGCGTCCACGCACTTGCTTCGAATAACACGTCCGAGGACTCGAGTAGCGTGACAGACAACAGTCGGTGACTGTGTGGCAACAGACACTACTTACATTCGGAAAACCGTGTTTTGTGCCATTGTCGCTTTGTCGAATTATCGAGCCTCTGATCACTGAGCACTCAGCTGGCACTTTTGTCCACAGCTTTTCGCTCCGTCACTGTTCCCCCGCTGTACTGCGTATGTTTTTCTTTGTTTTCAAACTCTTCATTTGGTATCCATTGTATCTCATAGTCACTAACTGACATTGGGCTTCAGCGGAATAGGATCTCGGCCACCATGCGCGATGCAGGAGCCTCTGCTTGCGACACCATCAATAATCCCCCGCAACAGTCACTGAATATCCGAGAGGTCGATGAACCTGTTGGAATCCAGAAGAAGACACTCGACTAGCTCTGAGCGCAGTGTGACCAGACGATTACACGCGAACTAAAGCGGGGCCTACGTGCTGACGAGTGAGCATGATAAACTAGTAGGGCTCAAGAAATGGAAGAGATAGGAGCAGTAGGCAACTATGGCAAGCTCTTACAGCTGATCCGCACCACCGGTCCCATAAAACTAGGCGTCAGTGAAACGATCAGAAATAACGCGGGTGCACTGATACACAATAAGGAGCGCCGTATGGCTCGTTAGGCGGTACGTTTTCAAGATCAGTTCAGTTGGCTCCCTGCTTTTGGGCCACTTCCTACTCAGATGTTGCAGGTTGAGCCACGGCTAGTTAGTTCAGAAGCTCTATAGGAGGCGATCGCAGTCTGTAACCGTCTTCGTGCTGCTGGCCCGAACTCCCTCGCACCTGCACTATCTAAGGATGGAGATGAGGTCCTCTGCAAAGCACTAATCTCCCTGTTCGAACGTGTCTGAAAGGCACAGGCTATCGTAATTAACCGGAGTAAATCGATTATGGTGGCAGTATACAAGAAGAGCAGTTGCGCCGACTGTGCTAATTATAAATGTATTAGCCTAACACCTGTTGTGACAAAATTACTGGCCTCGATTCTCGTTCGTCGCCTCACTGCGGAACGAAACTCCCGGACTAGAGAAGAGCAATCAGGCTTCCGCCCAGGACATGGCGGTATAGACCACATAGTTATTTTGCGACAGTTGCTAGATCAGCGCCACGCATGCTGCAGACCGACAATAACTGTGTTCCTCGACTTCAAACATGCCTTCGATTCAGAAGATCGTCAATTCTTTTCGAAATACTTGCGCGGAAAGGTGTTTCAATGAAATACGTGAACATTTCACGTGCCCTGTACTCGAACACCACATACCCCGTCAAGCTTTATGGTGATTTGTCGCATGCTTTTTCGACAAGAAGTGGCGTTTGTCAGGGTTGTTCAACTCCCCCATTTTTGCTCAACTTCGTCGCGGACTTCATCATGCAGTGTTCCCTTGCGGAACCTCACGATGCAGACGTCGGTTGCTGCCCGAGAAAATGCTAATTGATCTTGATTATGCGGATGAACTTGTCTTGCTATTCAACAGTGTGGGTGCGGTCCAATCAACCCTGAATGATCTCTCTACTGTAGTCCTATTATGTGGGATGCACTTCGCACCTTCAGATTGCAAGGTGTTGTTGCAGGACGACCAGACACTGGACAACCCCTGGAGCTCGAAGTGGTTGATCGATTCGCTTTCTTCGGCAGCTACATTAGCAACGGTGAGCGCATAAACGCTGAAGCCTGCCGACGTATTGGATGAGTTAAAACTGCCTTCTTGAATCTGCGGCCTCTGTGGCGTCAGAGGGGGGTTTCTCTCGGCCTGAAAAGCCGTGTATACAAGGCCACAGTGAGGGCCGTCCTACTGTATGGCAGTGAGACTTGGTCCTTTAGCTTTGAGGCTCCAAGGCACCTTCAACTCTTTCATCATCGCTGCTTGTGAAGCATTGCCGTTGTCAGATTGCACCATAGTTTCCTCAATGATGATGTGCATAGAGCGAGTACTAGGCAGTGATAATCAGGCTGGAACTTTAGAACAACAGCTAACACTGAATAAGTTGCGTTGATTTGGGCACCTACTTCTTATGCCCGGTCACTGCTTCCCGAGGAGGGCTTTGTTTTGTTTGTCAGATCTAGGGTGGCGCAAGACTCCAGGTGGGCAAAAACTAAATTGGCAGCGAGAAATGAAGTCACTAACTGGGAAACTTGGTTGTTTGCTCCCTCGCTTTCCATGCTGGAGTCCACGTAACCCGCTTTGTGTTTGTCGTGAGACGTTACAGGACATGGCTCGCACTAGACACTAGTGGCGCGTCTGCTGCCATCTCGTAATCGGACTGTCTGTTTGAAGTGTGTTTAGTGCTGATTTATCAGTGGATTAATGGATGATTGTGACGCGGCGAAGAGAAAGCCACAAAGAAATTGTCTCACCGATGCCGCATTATAAAATAAAATAAAATGAATGGTATGTTCTTCGGCGATGAGAGGTGCAGTCCAACTATGTGGTCTAATCAATGTGCACAGCAGGATCGCAAAAAGTAATCAATTTGTTCACGCTTTTTGCAATGGATCTAAAACGGGTATTAAAGTAATTTGTAGGTTTAAGGTATTAAAGAAATTAAAAAGCCAGGAACAATAACAAATGCAAATTTCAACAAATTTCCAGGTAAAGTAATACGGCCACTCGTGGAACCTATAACCAGCCGTTTGTGACAGTATTTTCTTAACAACATGTAGGCGTCTTGATCCTGAGTGTTTGTTTAGGACAGTAAGTTTTTACTCTGGTTCCCCTTCTATCCATCTTATTGTTCTTCGTTACGTAAGTCACCTTTGTTTTACGGCAGTGAAGCATCAGTTCAAATGGCTGATGTACTGTTTGATGGTGATGAGGATGGTGAAAGTAAACCGTCAAGATTCGCATACGTGGATCGAATCCCACTTTGTGCCTTCGATGAGTACTTTGCTGTCAAACCACTGGGCCGATTAGCTCGGTTCCCACATTCACGAGTTTACAGAAGAGTAGTAGGGGGAGCTGAGTGGTATAGGTAGAAATTCCTCACATCTAGACTCACTCAGACAGCCGCCACATGCCCAGAAAAGCACTGTACGCGCGTTTCATCCTTTCGGGAATCGACTGTTGCGACGCTATGTTACATCTAGTAACTTATTTACAATGTTCCTTGCAGTCCGCCGTAGCTCAGTGGTCTCAACCACGGATTGGCAACAGTCGAGTTTCAGGTTCGAGCCCTATCAGGATCCGATGGAATGCGCACTGCTGACGATTCCCGAAAGGATCAAACGCGCGTACAGTGCTTTTCCGGGCGTGTGACGGCTGTCTGAGTGAGTCTAGACGTGACGAATTTCTACCTATACCATTCAACTGCCCGTACCACTCCTCTGTAATCAGTACGCAGACCAAACTGCTTATAATGCCACAAGTCGATTGGCGGCTTAAGTTTGGTAAGTTCGTCGCTTGGTGTGGGTGCTACCCTGTCCTCTGCAGGGCAGTAACGAATAAGTCAGTGGGTAGTGATCGGCGCTATATCACATCTAGTAACTTCTTTACGATGGTCGTTATCGTCCCCCGTAGCTCAGTGGTCTCAACCACGAACTGGCAACCGTCGAGTTGTGTTTTCGAGCCCTACTATGGTCCGATGGAATGCGCACTGCTGACGGTTCCCGAAAGGATGAAACGTGCGTACAGTGTTTTTCCGGGCGTGTGACGGCTGCCTGAGTAAATCTAGATGCGACGAATTTCTATCTGTACCATTCACGAGTTTGTCGGTAATTTCACTACTCCGAGTGGCGCTGTCAGCTCTGGCTATGAAACCAGTGAAAAGCTCACTTTAACCCCCGTATGTCTTTTCAAACTCCTTATTATCTGTCCAGCTGTTGCGATGTTACCTTGTCATCCTGGTTTACGGCATGCCGCACTGCTTGCATCCAGGGTAACCGCATCCTTCGTATATACGGCTATCTTTGTTTAAAGATGTTTATAGCTACTAATCTTGTTCAATCCCGTAGCTTAAAAATAACGAGCTTGTTTTGAAATCTGACGGCGCGGGTTCGGACCTGCGTAGGAGCAGAGCGACCCTCGTAGTATCCTTAGCCCACGTGCGACCGGTAGTGGTTGCGCGGCAGCGAAGTGTCGGTGCTGCGTTCCGGCGTATTGTTGATGTCTTTTTTCCCTTGTTCAACCCCCTTTACCTGCAATCGGTTGCCCTGAGCAATTAATACTGAGGCTCACTCATTGATGTTTACGCTAGAGCCTCTGGATCCACACTGTACCATCTGTTGAGCTTGCACCTTTCATCTTGGATTATCTACCTGCTTCACATGCTCCTCAACCGTTTTCCCTTGTGTTCGTTTTTCGCGGTCGTTTGATTTGGTAATGTCCCCCAGCGTGGTCTGTTATGACGGCTAACCGAAGAAAATGGTCAGGCCAGCACACTTCGTTATCCTGAATAGAGGCTTCAACGTCCCACCTTTCACATCTAGCGCGTTGTCTCCCACATTGACGTCCTTGCCTGATGGCTTATTCCCCTCGCTTCTTGCCCGAACTTTTACTTTTGTTTACATCTCCAACTTCTCTTTTCGTTTTTTTGTTTTTACCATGACGGTATTTACGGTGCTTGCTGCAACCATCGTACAATGACACTTATCTAACAAATTACGGTCTAAAAGATTACGACACAATGTTGGCCTGATGGTGCGAGTCGTGGCAACTGGATCCACGTCACTTGGTACCCGGATCATACTTGCTTAACGGAATTCAACCGGACTGTTGACTTTTATCCTCCTTCGTTTTCATCACCCGGACTGATCTTGTTATGCATGCCCTTGTTGCGTGCGCTCACTTTCAATCGCATTTACTCAGTCACTCATTTCTCCACCGCTCCAGATGCTTGTCGAACTAAACCACGGATCGTCGCCGGAGGCAGATTCTGCATGCGGCAACCTAGAAATAACCTCCCACATCGACCAGATGACGGATGCTTTCAACCGTTTGGAGTCACTTTTTTCACATTCTTCCATCCGGCCTTCCCTCGTTGAAATTGATGCTATCCACAGCCTTTCTGTCAGGATAACACAGTTCTTAACGCTTCTTTCAGAGTCCCACCAACGGTGATTAAGTGTGTTTATTTTCTTATTCTCTCAATTTTATTTCCTAAATACAGTCTTGCATTTACAACGCTTTCTTACTTTTCCGTCAACCTCAATGTTATGCGCTGACTTGACAGCTTTTGCGTAGACCAGTGACGTATTCACATTATTGCAGTCAACATCGCTCGATTTGTCATGGCTGTTTTGCAGACAGAGTTGACACCAAGTATTTAGACATTCGATCCGCTGATTAAATGCATCAGCCAATTTAGCGGACATCTTAAGGGCACACTTGCACGCTAGTTCACAACATAACTACCACGATTAACTCCTTTGCTCCGGATCACGCTATTCTTTGGGGAGCTTCCATCATACAGCAGAAGTCTCTTGTCTTCGCGCGACTATTTGATTACAGATAATGTGCCATCAGAACCATAGCGAAATAAAGGGGGTAAGCGAACTACAACATGAAGAAAGTGATTTTTTTCGGTTTTACCAACGCCGTTTTGGGATTTTTGGTGTTTTGTGTTCGATGAGACACAGATAGATAACCCGCTTGAAGCGCACTGCTTCTACTGATGCCAGTTGCGCGCCATAGCCTCCAGCGTTTCTAACCACTAGTAGTCCGAATCGCGTGGTCTCCATCCTGAAAGACGGACCGGTCCGACGGATGCTAAGCTTAGGTTCCATCCTTCATGCTCCTTCTTGACGTCATTGGTCGTCCATTGCGGCACTTTCCAATCGCTTTCGGGGAACGCAATTAACGCTCAACGGGGAAGACGGTAGGCCGGCATGTGCAATACGTGGCCGAACCAACCCATGCGGTGTCGGAGAATAACCGTTTGGAGCCATGGGCTGTTTGCTCCGAACACTCGCTCTCAGACTTCTGCGGTAATCACGTGATGCTGCCACCACACGCGAGCAATTCTACGCAGGTAACGATTGTCGAAAACTGACAATCGTTTCATGTCTTCTGAGCGAGTCGGCCAGGTCTCACAACCGTACAAGAGGACTGCACGGACAGAAACAACGTATACCCTGCCCTTGAGTTTGAGACTGACGTTGCGACGGCATCATAAGTGTCTCAGTCTGATGAATGTAAGGCGGGCCTTTGCGATCCGTTGTTGGAACTCATCTCTAATACAGCTGCCACCTGTGATGCAACGACCTAGATAAGTGAAACAGTGAACTTGTTCCAGGACGTTACCAACAATGCCGAGTGCAGGCACAGACATCTGTCAATCTCGGAGTAGTATTTTACATCTACTTGGTGTGAAACACAAGCCATACTTAGACGCCTCCATCGCTAAGCGGTTCAAAGCGCTCTGAACGGCTTGGGGATCGTCCCCGAGAAAAGTGGTATCATCGGCGTAGTTCAAGTTCGCGACCCTGTCACCTGGCAGAAGCTAACTATCTCCGTTTTGAGGACCTTCCACTGCTCGTTGCATATCTTCAGTGGCGAAATTGATGAGGAAAGATGAGATTGGGCAACCTTGGCGCACGCCGCTGGTGACAGCAAACGAAGTGGAAAGCATGTCGTAAGCCCTGACTGTTGAGATCCTTCAAGATTGTTACAAACTTGTCGGGCACACTTATCCTTAGTAGACAGTTCACAACGCAGATCTATCTGCTGAGTCCAAAGCAGCTCGGATGTCCAAGAGCATTACGATTGTTGGCCGTCGGTGGACATGACGGAGTCCAAGCAGTTGGCGGAGTGTGAAGCTTTGGTCAATACAACCTCGACCTGGACAGAAACCCGCTTGTTCCTCTCGGTAAACGCCTTCTTTAGTCGCTGAGAGCCTATGGAGCAAAACAGGCTTGAAACTCTTGGAGGCTACAGAGATCAACGAAATTCCGCGGTAATTGGCGCAATCATCGCGGGAGTTTTTCTGGTGAATCGGGAAAGTGACCGGTTCTCCCCATGCAGTTGGGACTTTCTCTTCAATCCCAATTCTCGTGAAGAGTGATAGCATTTCGTTGACAAGTGCATTCCCGCCATCTTTGAATAGAGCCGGTGGTAGGTTTTCAGCACCTAGAGATTTATGACGCCTCAAAGATAGGATTGCGCTTTCGATCTCTGTTTCGGCAGGTGCATCTGTGGCGATAGGCCAAGCACCATTCGAGGGAAACGGTATCACAGTGGGCTGTGCTGAGCAGTTACGTTGGAAAGCAAAGTGCCCTGTCCAACGGCCCAAGAACCTATGCAAGCTGATTATTTTCGTGCCGTCTTACTCACAAATCATCTGACTGACACCGTTTGAATTGCGACCAGTGGTCATGATGAGGCAAAACAAACTACGGACGTTTCCAGCCGATATAGTGGTCTCCATCTCAACAGCTCGTTTTGACCGCCATTATTTACGGTCAGAGCGAAGGCTTGATTTCAGCTTTTGAGAGATAGACGGACGAATTTCATCGTGCTCCGCACTGGCGAGCACTACCCGTCGAGAATTTAGCAGTTCCGAGAATCTTACCGAAATCTAGCTTCTGGTTGTGCAGCGGGTGAGTCCGCAGCTGGACATGTCGGCGGACAACATTGCTTTTTGCAAATTTGACCAGTGTTGATCAACATCAGAATATGGGGTAGGACGATATTTTCGCGAAGCCTCTGTTGATACTTTGCTTTCACTGTTGGGTCCTCCAACTTGTGAAGGTTGAGTCGGGTTTCCTTGGCTCTGGGTGAACCGTCGAAACGCATACAAATTATCGCACACACCATTGTATGATCGGCGTCAACCCAAGTTGACCAAAATGATCGTCAGTCACGTACGCTGCCGCATCACCTGCAAATTATAGCTAAATGATCAATTTGTGGCCAGCGCTGGGTTGATGATGTAGGACGTCAGGTGGCATAGTGGCGTCCAGGGTGACGAAAGCCCGTACTGGAGAGGGAAAATTGATGGTCAGCACCAAGACTGAGCAGTCTCTCTCCGTTGTCAGAACGAACATCATCATACCCGTGTGGTCCACCGAGGTGGCGTTCACGTGGCAACAGCTGAGTTATACGTGCGTTCAAGTCTCCCGCTATAACAACGATGTCTGTTTTAAGCGCCCTTAGGTGCAGCGCATGAAGATGTTGATAGAACTGGAACTTGACTTTATCCGAACTGCAGTCAGTGGGCACGTAGGCGGAGGTCTCGAAAAGAGCACGCTTGTCTGCGCGATGACTGCTAAGCTTACAAGAGCCATAGAACCTCCTAGCGCATAGGCGACTTGATTGGAATCCAGTCAAGGAGGCCTCAGCTCTAGCACTAAGGGCGATTCCAACACCAGCTTGCCCAGATGCGGCGGACGAGAAAGTCGAAAATAAAAGCGGGTGTGTGGTTGGCTTGGTAGACTGTATTGGAATCCTGCAGCCGAGTTTCACTCAGGAAGCAGATATCAATTTCAAGGGTCGAGCTTGCGTGCAAGCTTTTCTGTCCGATCTGCAGTAATGTGCGCAAGTTGAGAGTTGCTAACTTGAACTGCATTTCCAGGTCGCAGTAGCGAAGATGGCAGACTTCGGGGCTTTTAGCTTCATGTCGGGGACTGTGTGGTTGGGTTGACGGGTGTCGAGCGGACCACTTCATCGACGGAGTTAGTGTTGTTCACATTTGAAGAACCAAGTAACAATGGGGATGAGTGCTACAATAAAACAGTATGTACATTGGTGGCGTGTATTTGTAAAGTTGGCATAGTCGTAGGACAGTGGATCATGAGAGCGAGATAGGTCGTTATTGTGCGTATCCATGGTTCATTATTAGGCGAAATAATACCGGGTTGCCTAGGCCGAAGTAGATCTGTTGTTTTAGGAAACCACGGCCCCGAGCCTTTGACCGAAAGGCCTAACCCACAAGGCAGCAAGGCAAAATAAGCGTTTCGCATCCGTTTGGAGCCGGTGACTGCAAATTCAGTTCATACGCCTTTCGGATGACGAAAGCCATACCACGGGCCCAACACTCCCGAAGTCAAAGACAAAATCCAATTCTCGGATTGCTTGCCGATATACCATGTCTCCGAGAGTGGAGAGTCACATTCGCCAATTTACGGTCTTGTTAAACGGACATAAGTGGCTTTTTCTAGCGAGAATGCTTGCCAGGCGTAAACCCACCACGTCCTGGAACGCTGCCGCTGAACCATTTGCCGGAACGGGAAATACCCGTACCGCCCAGCTGGCATCATGAGGAGGTGGTTCGGCAAGCCAGAAGTACAGTCCTTTAACATGGGAATGATTGCCACTTTGTGACACAAAATCCACTTGCGGCATTATTCGTCAATTACTACCTACTTCATACGCCAACTGCACAAAACCCATCTGCATGCAAACGCGACTGACAAGCGGCGTTTTGCGTCCACATTTGAACACGAGTGTCGTCACGGCTCATATCCTTCGTTGTTTCTCTTCTCCCTGAAACCGGCTTTTTCTCTTTCGAGTACTTTGGTCTCGTATTGGTGTTGGACGATGATGTCTCGGTTGATCCACCTTTGCTCTTACAATTGATGCGTTTCCACCCGCGTAGTTCGTTGCTAGGGCAGACGTTAATTAACTCGCGCCTACCCATCGCATGTAGACTACAACTGCATTTGTAAGTGTGCCGTCACATACTTTGTCTTACCTGCACAATATACCTTATCTCTCTGCACTCCATACAACAGTATTTACCCCCTCATCACCGTCACTTCGCTTATCGGATCCAGCAGACCACCAATCGTTGCAGTACCCGATGAAAGAATGTACATGCACAAGGAACCGCATCATTTCATCCGGAAACGGGCTCCCGTCTAGTCTTCGCCCTGTGCACCTCCCCATGCTCATTCCTTCCAGCTCCATTTGAACAGATAACATGCACGCACTTACATTGCTTTACTCAAAATACACGGTTGTCAGCGTGCTGTGTGTTGCTGCCCAATCCCCCTAGCGCTGATATCAGTTGTGGTAGTACCATGGATGCCTTCACTTGCTAGTGATGGCCATCGCTACGAGAATGAACCCTGACATGGTGCGATGGTACGCGCACCTCTGTGACCCATTGAGCTACGCTGGGT